GCTCATCGACAAAAATTTGAAGAGCCGCAGCCACCACCATCGACGAAGAGGAGGCGGTCTCCAAATTCCTCCACTCCGTGCCGGCAAAGTACATCCAGATCGCTCTCTCTATAGAGACGATGCTGGACTTGTCCACCCTCACCATCGAGGATGTGGCAGGCCGTCTGCGGGCGGTGGACGAGCGCCTGGAGCAGGCGACAGCAACGAAGGACAGCGGGAAACTTCGGGAAGGCAGCATCCTCCAGTCGCGGTGGCAACGGCAAACATCGCGGTAGGGCTTCTTCGGAGAAGAAGCAAATCGACTCCAACGCATGTCGGTGTTGTGGGAAGATGGGCCATTGGGCACGGGAGTGCCCAAATCGCAAGAAGGAAAAGAAGGCTCAGGCTCACCTAGCGAAAGCCGATGATGAGGATGAGGCCACTATCCTTATGGCGACGTTCTATGCACTGCACGACGTCGAGGCCATGGAGAGGGAAGAGGCGACGACGGTGGAAGGATCTAGCAAGGCCCTGAAGACCGTCAACCTCGACGAACCACGCGCCCAAGTCCATCTTGGGCATGTGGGCGTCGACCAGGAGCAGCGGTGGTATCTGGACTCTGGTGCCAGTAACCACATGACGGGCTCCAAGGACTCCTTCTCCGAGCTCGACGGTGATGTTACCGGTACGGTGAAGTTTGGTGACGGCTCAAGGGTGGCTATCCAAGGGCGCGGCACCATCATCTTCAGATGCCAGAATGGGGAGCACCGCGCGCTAACGGATGTATACTACATCCCGCAGCTGCGTTCCAGCATCATCAGCATTGGTCAGCTGGATGAGCGTGGTAGCGAGGTTCGATCAGGACAGCGTTCGAGGATCAAGAGACCGGGAGCAGCGACTTCTCGCCAAGGTGAAGAGGTCCCTGAACCGGTTGTACCTGCTCGACCTGAAGGTAGAGCAGCCGGTTTGCCTGGCGGCAAGGCACTCCGAGGAACCGTGGATGTGGCATGCCCGGCTCGAACATCTCAGCTGCGACGCGCTTGGTCGGCTGGGGAAGATGGTCCGAGGGCTACCCCACATCAAACACGGAGGCGAGCTGTGTGACAGCTGCCTAGCCGGGAAGCAGAGGAGGCTACCTTTCCCAAAGGCGGCCAAGTATCGCGCGAAGGAAGCTCTCGAGCTAGTTCACGACGACCTCTGCGGGCCGATCACGCCTGCTACATGCGGTGGTCGGCGGTACTTCCTCCTACTCATGGGACGATTACGCGCCGCTACATGTGGGCGCAACTCCCGACGAGCAAGGACAAAGCGGCGATGGCGATCAAGAAGTTCAAGATGCGCGCGGAGGCCGAGAGCGGCAAGAAGCTCCGTGTACTGAGGACTGATCGGGGTGGCAAATTCACTTCGGTGGAGTTTGCTACGTACTGCGCGGATCAAGGTGTGGGGCAACATCACACCGCGCCGTACTCGCCACAATAGAATGGCATGGTGGAGCGACGAAACCAGACAGTGGTCGGCATGGCCCGATCCATGATGAAGGCCAAAGGGATGCCGGCAAAGTTCTGGGGAGAGGCGGTGACCACGGCGGTGTTCATCCTCAACCGCGCTCCAACCAAAGCCCTAACGGGCAAGACGCCGTTCGAAGCTTGGTACGGGAGCAAGCCGAACGTGTCATTCCTCCGGACATTCGGTTGCATCGGCCACGTCAGGAAGACGAAGCCGAACCTCACCAAGCTGGAGGACAGGAGCACACCCATGGTGTTCCTGGGCTACGCGGAGGGTACCAAGGCGTACCGGCTCTATGACCCACGCGGAGACAAGGTGACTGTCTCGCGCGACGTTGTGTTCAACGAGGAGGCAGCTTGGGACTGGCACAGTCCGAGCACGGGGGAAGCGGGAGGCTTCACCAACACCTTCGTCGTCGAGCACTTGGTCATCCACGGCGGTGGAGACGCTGCGGAACAGGTGCCACGCACTCTGGGAGGAGCGCCGAGCACTCCGGCGGTAGAGTCGAGCACTTCTGGGGCAGTGTCGAGCACTTTAGGAGGCATGCCGAGCACTCCGGGAGGAGTGTCGAGCACTTCTAGAGGGATGCCGAGCACGCCAGGAGTGGAGCCAGGAGGTTCTGCAGTGGTGGCGGCCACTTCAGGACGGGTGCCGAGCACTCCCATGGTGGAGCCAAGACGTCCTACTATGGTTCCGACCACTCCAAGACTGAGGCTGGGCACTCCTACAGTGTGGCCGAACACTGCAGGAGTTATGATGAGCAGTCCAGAAGCAGTGTCGAGCACTTTGGGTGCTATGCAGGGCACTCCGGCGGAAGAAGGAACTTCATCACCCCCGATCGAGTTCGCCTCACCTCCAAGTGACATCACTGAGTTCGTGGACGCCTACCACGAAGGTGAGGAGTTGAGGTTCCGCAGGCTGGATGACATTGTTGGCGGCACAGGCCCCTCAGGTCTGGCGGGTAGGCTACTCAACGACGCAGAGCTGCTACTCGTCGGTGCAGAGGAACCACCCACGTTCGCGCTAGCCGAGCGCGATGGAAACTGGCGACGGGCAATGCTGGAGGAGATGAAGGCGATCGAGGAAAACGAGACTTGGCAGCTCGTCGATCCACCCCCAGGATGCCGTCCGATCAGCCTGAAGTGGGTGTACAAAGTCAAAAGGGACGAGATCGGCGCCATTGTCAAGTACAAGGCTCGCCTCGTCGCCCGAGGCTTTGTCCAACGTGAGGGCATCGACTTCGAGGAGGTCTTTGCACCAGTAGCGCGCATGGAGTCGATCCATTTGCTACTTGCTTTGGCGGCAGCAAAGGACTGGCGCGTCCATCACTTGGACATTAAATCGGCCTTCCTCAATGGCGAGCTGGCGGAAACGGTCTTCGTCAGGCAACCTCCAGGGTTCGCTGTCAAGGGAGAGGAGCACAGGGTGCTCCGACTGCGCAAAGCGCTCTACGGGCTATGGCAAGCCCCTCGAGCATGGAACGCCAAGCTTGACACCACGCTGGGCGAGCTTGGGTTTCAGAGGTGCGCAACCGAGCACGCGCTCTACACGCGACGACGGGGGAAGGAAGAACTCGTGGTCGACGTGTATGTGGATGACTTAATCGTCACCGGCGCGCGCACAGAGGATATCAACAGCTTCAAGCGAGAGATGGCAGCTCGTTTCCGAATGAGCGATCTCGGTGCTCTCTCCTACTACCTCGGCATCGAGGTGAGACAGGGGAAGGAGGAACTCATGCTTGGGCAAAGCGCGTATGCCTCCAAGCTGTTGGAGAGGAGTGGCATGGTGGAGTGCAAGCCATGCGTGACTCCGATGGAGGAGCGGCTGAAACTGACGAAGGACAACACCGTGGCGAAAGTAGATGCAACACTCTACCGGAGCATCGTCGGCGGTCTGCGCTACCTAGTCCACACAAGGCCGGACATTGCGTTCACCGTGGGCTACGTCAGTCGCTTCATGGAGGATCTCAGAGAGGATCATTGGGCTACGGTGAAGCAGCTTCTACGCTACGTCAAGGGGACGGTGAATCATGGAATCATCTTCCCAAAGACCGGGGGAAGTAGGCTGCAGCTCATGGTGTTCAGTGATGCAGACATGGTGGGGGACATCGATGGACGACGGAGCACCTCTGGCGTACTCGTCTTCCTCGGGTCGGCCCCAATTTCATGGCTGTCGCTGAAACAGAAGGTGGTGGCGCTATCTACGTGCGAGGCAGAGTACGTAGCGGCGGCCACAGCGGCGTGCCAAGTTGTGTGGCTACGCCGGCTGCTGGGCGAGCTAACCGGCGTGGAAGCTCACCCACCAGCACTGATGGTGGACAACCAGCCCGCCATTGCCCTCGCGAAGAATCCGGTTCTGCACGACCGGAGTAAACACATTGACGTGAAGTTCCACTTCCTCAGGGACTGTGTTGATGGAGGGCAGATCATCATCGAGTTTGTCGAAACTGGTCGGCAACTCGCGGACGTCCTCACCAAGCCGTTCGGACGACTTCGACTCACGGAGCTGAAGGAGATGATCGGCATGGAGGGGGTGCAAGGGTTAGCAGTAGGATTAGGGGAAGATTGTTAGCTAATATACTGCCACCTTGTGTGAAAACACAGCAGAGGAAGGCGGCGCCGACTTTGCCCCCCTATTTGTGATCAAGATGGCAGCTGCTGCAGTCAGTAGCGGCGCACTGCTCACTCTGCAAAGATCTTGAGAGGCACATGCGAGAGGCCGCGTGAGTCAGCCCCTGTATGCTTATTTAGTTACTGTTACAGCATGTGCGCTGTACTTTAGTTAGATAGGTAGAGTTGTATAAATAGGGCACCAAGGCAACTCAGTAAAGAGAGCTCAGATTTGCCATCACACAGACAGGGCATCGGCCAACGTTGTTGTCTTGTATTGTGCGTGCTTGCTCTGTTCTCCCTTCTTCTTCTAGCTCGATCCGTAGTGTGTGGGTATGGACACAGCCGGTACGGTGGTCTGGGAGACCAGTGGTCTAGAGACTAGTGGTCTGGTCTGGGAGACTAGTGGTCTGGAGACTAGTGGTCTGGTCTGGGAGACTAGTGGTCTGGGGACTAGTGGTCTGGAGACTAGTTCACTATCGTCAGACGGTGATCCCGTGGGCCAACATAATCGAACTGATTTAATAAGCCAACAAGAGCTTACAGATAGAAACTTTTATATGCTACAACACACAGTGAACCATGGATATAGTGGAAGACATCCCCATCTGTCACTTGCATGCAGAACGTAATAAGCGTTTTTCCTTGTTATGGTTCATCAAAACTTCCACTCACTGGTCATATAAGTAATTCAGTGTGATTTCCACATTTACCCAAGAAGCAAACCCTTAATGTGAAACTTCATAAAGTAAATTCATCTTGTACAAATTCAAGGAGATAACTCATAGCCTATGAACTGACAGTGTAAATAAGAGGCACAAGGGATCTTGAAAGTTGAAACACCCAAACTTAGATGTGGCATCCCAGTCCGCCTCATATGCGGTTCACAGGTCTTGGATCCACTCTTCATTGCATCTTTGTCCATAGCTCACCTATACCAATTGTGTTCAAATTGGGAGACAATTTAAGAGAGACTGCTATGATTAGGGAATGAGGCTTAGAAGGATTAAGCAAGGTGGATCTAGCTGCAATTAGGCTGAATTGGTGGCCACTGCCATCTATCTTCCCCTTTCTCTTTTGTCTGCTACCTTTCGCTTCTGTTATCTCTTTAACGTTAACCTTATTTCCCCTTGTGTTAACCTTCTCATACTGTTAGCAACCATATTTCATGCAAGCGATAAAGGTGTTGATCCAGGTGGCAAGTGGTTTATAATTTTGATCATGGCATGGACAAAGATATGGAGCACATGTACAAGAAATGGAATAAAAGGCAGATACAGTCATTTTTGTGCACCTACCTAAGCAATTGTCGTCCATCATCACATATCACACATATTTGATCAAGACCGTCATCATCTTCGCTTTCATCATCATCATCATTGTTGTCATCATCGTCATCATCATCATCATCGCTGTCATCACCATCATCATTTGCTACCATCACCATCATCACAATCATCACCACTTCATCATCTTTGTTACCATAATTGTTATCATCATTTTTTCTAACACGCCGCCCACCACTAACAATGAATTGTGCTTCCAGACCTAAGGCCTTTAAAATAGGCTCATTCAAAGGAAAAGTGAAACATGAGAAACCCTAATAAATATATTTTTGAAATTCTCCTCTAGTCAAATAAGTGTCGTTTTTGGGTTGCGTGCATTCAACCATTTCAACCTCTCGATTACAAAATACTTTTTATGTACTTAGTTTGGGTATTTGAAAAATATTATAAGTAGTGTCTCACAAAATAGTTTAATAACACTATACTTTTGCTATCCTTTGTAACAAATGTACTAAAGAAATAGTCAAAGTTCTATTTTGGGGACTAAGTCGGTGTCCAAATAGGCACTTATTTGTACTGGACAGAGTAGAATGAACATGGGAACATAGTAACAAGAGAAGTTCACATTATACATTTGAGCGATAAAGGTCATCTAACTTAATTTGGAACCTCCTAATCAATCTGATTTCATGACTATAAAAAACTCTGACTCTCAAGTCTCAACCATGAACTATGAAAGCTTTCTTGAATAACCCCCAACAATTTTTTCACCATACAAGTTGCTGACGCGTCAGTGAAGTTTCACAGCCCAGCAACTAAGTTAGGAAATAAAATGAAAGTGTCCCACAACATCTCTTCTTCCTATCACTCCTCACAAATATGCCTACATCATGATTCTCACTGTTGTTTGTAAAGCTAACATATTAGATCTTAGCATACCTTTTTAGTTCTCGCAAAGCCATTCTCAATAAGCCTTTGCAGAATCTGCATATATACAAAAGAAGAGAAAAATCAGTGCATGCCACTCATCTAACTAGTCTCATGACTCTGAAAAATCAATAAGGTCCATTATTCAAGGCAATGACGAAATGATATAAAAACTTCCACGCAAATAAACTGAGGGTGGTAATGCTAGTTGATGATGTATAGTTTCAACTTGAAATTAAATTACCATGCTTTCAAAGGCAATACATGGGCCCTCCCCTACTGTATGTATTTCCCTCAAAAAAGAAAGGGAGTAGGAAGTAGGGCAGTAGGGTGAAGTAACTTGTACCTTTGACTTCATCGATGTTTGATCTTTCTCTACAAACAACTTGATTAGGTTATGGTGCTTCATCAAGTCATCCGCCACAGATTTAGGATTGTATTTACTTCAAAAGACAAACGAATAAACATTATAAGCATATACTCAGAGGGGGCGCCAAAGGGTGCCTAGCTCAAACGGTTATGTGGCCCAGCGGCACTCCTCAGGTCCTGGGTTCGACTCCCCGTGGGAGTGAATTTCAGGCTGAGGTTAAACAAATCCTCTCACCCGTCCCCATAACCAAAACATTAGGGGGGCACCGGCCCAATTCTCACTTGGGCGACGGAAAGCCACCGTGTAAGGGTGGGGGCGGGGGTTCGGGGGTTTTCTCGGCCGGGTGAGAAGGTCCTTCTTCTTATTTGTAATGCTGCGGGGGCAGTCTTAACCCCCCGGTCGAGTTTTTTTTACTCAGAGGGGGCAAATACAAAGTAAGCATGTCGTTGGATACCCAAAAACTTCATCAAGGTGATCCCAAAGGTGATTCAAAGAACTTCTTTGCCCCCCTCTCAGAACAAAGTGGAGCATTTGCACCGTAATCAATATTGATCGAACGAACTCTCCATAGCATTTTCGTGGTTTCAACAGCTTTATCCACTTGTGCTGAATAGAAAGCACATAGAGGTTGGGCTGCTCACTGTCAAGCCTTATCTTCCAAGCTACCACCTCCTTGTACACGTGAAGACTTTTATCCGCAAATCCGTGCAAAAAAACATTCTTCCTGGAGAAATCTGCCTCGTTATCATTCTCACCAAACTGGAAAGGCAAGATACTGAAACAAACAGGTTCCCCTTCACCATCCTCAAAGTAGTATCCATTGACATCCTCAATTTGTGGCTCCACTCCATCATCATCATCATCATCAGACATTATAGGCCACACTTGATTCAAGCAAGGACAAAAACCAAATCTGACAGGAGTAAGTTCACAATTAAGCCTAATTTTATCAAAGTTGTTACAGCAAAGTTGAACACTGATAATTTGCTTTCATGGTAGATACTCTTTTATATAGCACAGAAGTTCAGAACTAACAATAAGACAAAATGCAATGGACAATAACTAATGAACTATGGAAACATGAGCTTACTAATTGAAATAATACACTGAAATCAGAAATATGACATGTTGTTATCCGGTGATTAACCATGAATATAGGAGCACAGATTGAAGTATTTTCTGATATAGCAATCTGAGAGGCAACTAGCTTGATAATGTTACTAACAAAGCAGTAATTACCCAAAAGTTAATACACAGTTCCCCACTAATTTGACATCACATAGCAATACATGGAATATTTAACACTTGAAATGCCCAGCTGCAACTACAGATTTCCAATAAAGAATTTAAGCAATAAGACAAATCGATATGCTAGAAGCTCGAGAGGGGTGAAAATTCCTACACCAACCTCCATCAAACTACTGGCAAGGAGGGGACAAGAGATTTGGGGGAATTCAGAATCAGCCAACCCTTAGTGGTCTAAGTCTGCAGACACTCCACATGAAATTGCCATTAAAGAAAAATGTTACAAAAGCAGTCACACGAAACAGACATTCTGACTTCTTAATTGTGGGATAAAATCGATTATATTTAACACCACCCCTGAATGCAGGGGCGGACCCAGTAAAGCACATGGGTGTATACATGTACCACCGATGTTTTTTGCAAAGCAATCGAAGTTAGTAGGCATAATACATGCATATACACTGATAATCAGATTCAGATCCGAATACAAATTGTATGTTAGGGTTTAGGCGCACGGTTTCGCACAGCAGGAAGGGAAGACCAAGGAGAAGGCGTACCTACAGATTACGTTAAGGTTTGGGCATACGGCTTCGCACAGCAGGAAGGGAAGACCAAGGGGGAGGGATACCTGGTGGTGCTCGTCGCCGGCAAAGGTGGCGAAGTACGGCGGCAGCGACGGCCGGCCCAGTCGTCGGCGATAGCCTGCTCGGCTGGACTTAAAAAACACTGTTCATGCTGTTTTTTCACTGTTTATGCTGGATTTTTTTTTTGAAAAAAACACTGTCCCGGCTGGAAAAACAAGCGGCTCATCCGAACAAGTGGTGCTCACGGAAACTCTCTCGGCACCTATTTTTTTCCCAATTCACACTTCTTTCGAAATTTAAGTGTGTGCAGATGAATTCTTTTATTATTCAGATGATTCCTTACATTTGCCTTTTTCATTAATCTCTTCTATTTTCTGAGACTATCGGAAATAACTAAAATACCCTTTGCCTAAAAGAACAGACATGCACGCAGCCATCTCGCCGCCCGCGCCGGCTGGCCCCGTGCCCCTTCGTGTTGCCCCTTCTGGTGCTGCGGCACCGGGCGGAGGCGGCGACTGTGGAGGGGCTGTGCATGCCGACAGTTTATTTTCTCGAACACCTCTTATAAACGTAGTTATTATTAGAATTGGATCAGACATTAAACCCGTGAGGCCATCGGACCCTGGTGCGACCATTAAGAACCGGTTGAAAGGTCCGTGTTTGGTTTTGGTAATTGAGTGACAACTTAGGTGGATTAATTGTGTTTATGTGAGATACACAGGTGATTAGTCCACAGGTACATGTGTGTGAGCAACATATGCCATGAAGGTGAAAATGGCTTGAAGATGTTGCAAAGCTCACACATGTGATGATGAAGGAGCTCATTGCAAATGAGACATGACATTGAGTCATGTCATCAAGGTGGAGAAGATCAAGACAAGACTTGGCTTGATGGACCGGTTGCAAGCGTCAAGGGCAAGTCGGAGGCTTTGGAGTGATGGACCGCGTGGCGGTGAAGCTTGAGCAAGACTTGGCGCCGATGGACAATGGCAACAGTGAAGAGCAAGTGAAGTCAAGATTGATGAACCAATATGATCACGTGATGATATGAAATGGATCATATCATTGTTGATCGTGTTGGTGCATGTGTTGCATCGACATTGAAGGAGATGGAATGGAATGCGCAAGGCAAAGGTATAACCTAGGGCATTTTATTTCACCGGTCATAGGTGTGTAGAGAAGTTTATTACCGGGTTTAGGATAGATGGCCGTACTATCAAGAGGAGCAAAACTTGTTTGTATATCCGTCATCTAAGTGCCACTCGAGTGATCTAACTTTGCATCGTCGCTAGGATCGAGTGGCGTGGCAAGTTGCGTGGCTAACATCCTTTGGGAAATGATTGTGAAAATGCTAACACACATACACATGGTGGTGTACACTTGGTGGTGTTGGCACATTTACAAAGGAGGTGATGTTGGAGTCGATGTGGATCAACTTGGCGAAGAAAAGGAGTGAGTTGCGCTGGTCAGAAAGTGACCGGACACGTCCGGTATGGTGACCGGACACGTCTGGTATTAACAGGCGAACTCAGCGACCAGACGCGTCCGGTCGCCACACCGGATGTGTCCGGTGTGAATCTGCATGGTCGAAGTTCTGTGAACGGTCGACCGGACGCTGGCAGCGTCCGGTCATGGGTGACCGGACCGTTCGGTCGGACCTGGGTGCTTACTGGACTCGATCGGACGCAGCGGCTCAGCGTCCGGTCATGTCTGCTTCTGCGTCCGGTGTGAGCGTCTGGTCGGACATGTCAGAGAGCCGTTGTGGCAACGGCTAGCTTGAATGGGACACGTGGCGGTCAGGCGCTACCGGACACGTCTGGTATAGCAACCGGACGCGTTCGGTATGCACGTCCGGTGCTACGTCCGGTGCAGCGTCCAGTCAGCCCGAAAAACGCCCAGTGAAGGGGTAACGGCTAGTTTAGCCCTTGGGGCTATAAATAGAAGAGGCCCTTGGCCATGGTTGGTGTGGAGCACCTGAGGGGACTTAGTGTCCATGCTTGTGAGTGCTTGGGAGCCATCCATCACACATATACTTGATAGTGATCATTCGATTGTGTGAGTGGGCGATTCTAGTGTGATTGCATCGTGAGGTTACATCGAGTGGCACTAGATGATCGAGTTGCAAGCCGGTGGTGCTTGTTACTCTTGGAGGTTGCCACCTCCTAGACGGCTTGGTGGTGGTCTCCGTCGAAGTCCGCAAGAAGCTTGTGTAGGGCTCCGGAGAAGAGCTTTGTGAGGGGCATTGTGCTCGCCCCACGGGAGCCGCGAAGAGCAACTTTAGTAAAGCGTGTCATTGAGCTACCCTCACTCAAGGGGTAGGTTCTTGCGGCGCCCGACGTGCGGGCTTAGCGGGTGATGCTAATTAGCCGCCGAACCACCAAGTGAGCGGTCGACACAACGGGGACTAGCGTGTTGGCAAACACGTGAACCTCGGGAGAAAAATCATCGTGTCAACCTTGTTCTTCCCGTTGGTTTGCTTCCCCATTACACAAGCTTGCATTTACTTTCATATATATTAAGCTAGTGTAGTTGCTCTTGTAATTAGTTTGCTTGTGTAGCATATTAGTTACCTTCTTGCTTGTGTTGCATAGAAGTAGCTCCCTTGCGTGGCTAATTTGGTTTGAGTAACCTTGTTAGTCACATTGCTTAGTTTGTGTAGCTAAGTATTTGCGCTCTCTAATTTGGCATTGGTTGCCTTGTTATTGAGCATTGCTAGTGAGCTTAGGTGGCTTTGTGCTTTTGCTTACTAGCATGTGTAGGAGCTCCCTTGTCGCTTAAAGTACTAGTGGCATAGGTTTGTGTGACCTTGCTCCTAGAATTGCTTAGGTGAGCTCTAACTAGCCCGGCACCTTAATTGCTTAATTAGTATATTTGAAAGGTGCTAAAGAACATAGATAGAGGGGTGTAGTCTTGGCTAGACCGATAGTTTTAATTCCGCACTTGTTTCGGTTAGCCGACGCGATTAAGTTTTAAAAAGGACTATTCACCCCCCCTCTAGTCGCCATCTCGACCTTTCAAGTGGTATCGGAGCTCGGTCTCTCATTTGTGGTGTTCACCGACCCGAGAGGATGGCGCCTAATGGGCTAGATGGTTGTGAGAATCACATTTTCGATGGCACAAACTTTGCACTTTGGAAAAATCACATGCTTAATCATTTTCGTGCAAAGGGACCTAAATTTTGGTGGGTTGTCACTAGTGGTCTCACCCATGTCTTGGATCATAGAACTCTAACCAAAGCTCAAAGAATCATCTATGAATTTGATGCACATGCTTGTTGTTTTCTATTGGATGCTTTACATGTTGATTTGATGAAGCAAGTAAACTACAAGGGGACCGCTCGTGAGATATGGGACTCCATCAAGGACACCTTCGGTGATTCCTCCACATGGGATGATGGTAAATTCAAAAAGGAGGATGAGACCAAGAAGGAGACACATGAGTGTGTTGAGCATAACCATAATTTGGTGATTGTGGAAGATTGCTCCACCTCATTGTCAAGTGAGGATGATGATGATCAATCCACTACAAGTTCACTTGACAAGGTTGATGTTGGTTCATGCTCAAGCAATGATGATGATGCTACTACAAGCTCTCCAACTACACCACATTGTTTCATGTCACAAGGTGACACCAAGGTATCAAATGATAATGTGGTTGATCATGTTGATTCATACGATGAGCTTGTTAGTAGACTTGCTAGCATGACCATGTCTTTAGAAAATGAGAAAGCTAAAACATTGAAATTAGAAAATAAAAACTCATTTCTAAAGAACTCTTGTGAAGATCATAAGAAATTACTTGATGCTTATAAATCTTCACATGATGAGCTAAAATTGAATCATGAGACACTACTTGCATCTCATGATGAATTATTAGAACAACATGATTCTCTCATTAAAATATTTACAAAGAAACTTAAAAGTAATGAGAGCTCATCACATGGATCAATTGATCAATCACATATTGTTGCAAACCCTTGTGATGTAGGTAAGAAGCATGTATCCACCTCTTGTGATGATTTATTAAATATGCCATGCTCTTCAC